CCCCAAAACCCCAAAACCCCAAAACCCCAAAACCCCAAAACCCCAAAATATCTATCCTAGCTTGAAACTATTTTGTAAATCCATCCCAGAATTAAAAAAGATAAAAACTTCATCTAATTTATAAATGATTATTTGTAGTCCTGAGCCCTCGATGCAAGTGTTTTTCTAGGTCATACTGAGCCACTTTCTTAAGCTTCTCTTCACTTGTTAAACAGTTCAGCAAGCTTTGATACTATAGACAGAGTCAAAGACGAAATGGAGTCAATGCATTCTTAACATTTTCAAATACATCGATTCTAGAGATCTAATATCTTACCAAATCTTCAATGCAATTATCTGTCTGATCAGATATCACAATTTCCTCCATTAGATCCTTTAGAATAGGTTGCAACTAAAGATTAAGAGCTATTCTACTTTATCCAATGTGACGTCTTGATTTTTAGTAAGCAAGTAGTAATAAGAGCTCAAATCTTCGAGCAACGGACTTCCTTCTTCCTATAAATAGCACAACAACGTTTACGATCGGTGAGTATCCTAAAATGTTTGAATCATTGGTTACCTAAATGTGTCATTTGGGATTTCTGAATAGATTTCTCATCATCTTTAATATCTAAAATTACAAGCTAGTGATACCTTCTTGGTTATCATCTCCAGAGATTTCTAGCTCCTATATTAGAGTCAGACATTGAAAGATTGTAAAATATTTTGCCTCGTAAAGCTATGATTATGATAAAGAAATAGTGTATTGTTAAATAAGTAAATAATAAAATAAGGAATGTGATTGGAGTACCTTAATACTGACTAACAAGTCTTCTCACTCCATTTCATGTCTCCTCTTCTGCTCCTCAAGCCTAATCTCCTCTGTATCCATTCACTTCTGAAGTCTATTGAGTGTAAAGTAAATCTCACTTTGGGAGTTGGTTTGAGTTCTCAAGGGAATCTAGCAAATCTTTAACTTCTTCATACTCAATCTCTGCTCTCAGAAGGGATTTTGAAGATTTCTCCTTCTCAAGTTTGTTTGTAGTCAAATCTCTATATTTATTTAACTTAGATCACAACTTGAAATGGCAATTAAACTAAGATATTCTTAAGAATTTAGACTAGTGATAGATAAATTGTTTTATCAAAACAATGGCCTTACTCAATAATTTTGACAAATTTCTGTTGCTGATCGACCAATCCATCCCTCTCTTCTTTCAACTCTTGGTATTTTTCTCTAACATTTTTATTATCTTCAAGGACCTTGCCAAGCTGCCCAGTGAGGCTATCTAATTTGTCTGCAACCTCTAGACCAAAAGAATTAAATGCTTCAAGTTTGCCTATAAAAGAGTACTTACCTTGTAGCATACGTTCTTCCTATAAATAAGTATTCTTAAAGTACCTTCTTTTTATTTTTGAAACCCATCTTTTCCCAGAAAGATTTGGAAGCACTCTTTTGTTCTTGACCTAAAAATTTAAGAATAAATTCTAAGTTCTTACTGGGGACTGTGTGGTTGAATTCTAACGGTTTAAGTTCATTCCTCCAATTCGTCAATTTAGGTTCCACGTTCTTATTTGGATATACTATTCTGCACCAAAATTTTCTATATTTAATTGTTTTTAACTCTAGAGATCACTAAGACACTGGATCTGAAAGCTGAAGGAAGAAGAAAATTAAAAATGGAGACTATAAGAGACTTGGAACTTACATTGTGAACATCTTCAATATCTTGTATATATTTAAGATCATCTAAAGCTAGAAGAGTAAGCTCACCTTCATCGTCTCTGTTGAGGCTAGTGTATGTGTCTAACCTTTTCTACAAATAATTATGTATATCTAAAGAACCTGTTGCGACTGAGACTTCTTCTTACTTTTATCTTGTTTAGTAGTGAGCACGCCTAAACTCATGATTTACTCTGCCTCCAGAAAAAAGAAGAATAACACAAGTTAAAGGGGAGTTAACCAAGAATGAAATATTAGCATTTCCAAATTTAATTTAAGTATTTTAAAGCTCACCTATTGCAAGAACTTATTGTCACTAATCGACAAATTAGCTGTAGAGTAAATCAATAATATCAATACTTGACAACTTCGTGCGTTGTTTTCTTTTTGCTATATCGATTAAGCTCCATCAGATAGTTACGATTTCTACTAGGAGGTTCTTCTAAGTTCTGTGACCTTGAAATAGACATTTTGATTTTAAATTATTTAAATTCCAATCTTCTCTTTGAAATTTGGGGTTTTGGGGTTTTGGGGTTTTGGGGTTTTGGGG